AGTTCGACGCTGGATTTGCACATCGTTTGATACTGAAGGATGGAGTGGTCCCAGCTGTAAAAGATCCCAGTCATGATTCAGAACTGCAGACGGTAAGTGAAACTGCATCAAATGTCTGTTTTGTTAGCAGTCGGAGCTCAAGTGCTCGTCAATCATTAGCTCCGCCCACGGCGCGCCTCCAGGAGCTCGGCTTTTTCCGGAGAGAATCGCAAAGCTTTCTTTTATAAATATGATCAAACTAAAGACTTTTTGGAGATATGAAGGATGCAGTACTACTCTATAGGTACTCCAGATTAACATGAGATTGGGTGAAACTGTGTGTGTTATGTCCCCTTTAAACTAGTATCACAAATTAAATATTGATAATTAAACTAGCAAAAAACAGATAACTAAACTTGTATGACTACCAAAACTACTCACACCCAAACTAGACAAATACTGATAATTAAACTAGTATCACTGTTTAAATATTGATAACTAAACTAAACACCGATAACTACAGTATGACTATCAAACCTAGATAAACGTGTATGATTGATTACTATTGATACAAGAGTTTCAAAGGAAGAGGAACGAAAAAGGAAGGATGCCGCACAAACATCAGGAAACTAAAATTAAGCAAATCTGTATGGCACTCATTGGCCCACCTATGAAACTGCTAAAAGCTAATAATGAGATATCTTTCATATCTCAATTGCTTCACGTCACCTTTCATTGAGAGCAAAAGTAAATCTCAAACTGTGCTCAGATTTGCCCAAGACAACAATAATGGCAATCAAACATGAGAGATCTCAATATGAACTCATCATTATTCATCAAATTCTTTTCAAAGACCTAATGATCAGAGCCTTATAATTCACAACTCACTTATTACACTATAAATGACACATAAACAAGATCAATACAAATACTACATCAGTACTGATACTTACACAAGTGTCATTAAACTAGTGATACCTAAACTACATAAATACTGACACTTAAGCTATACGACTACCCAGAACAACTGACACCAAAACTAGACCATTACTGATACTTAAGCTATACGACTACCCAGAACAACTGACACCAAAACTAGACCATTACTGATACTTAAACTAGTATCATGACATGAATACTGATAATTAAACTAGAAAAACACTGATAACCAAAGTAGTATGAATACCTGGAATACCAAAACTACTGACACCCAAACTAGTCCAGTACTGATACCAAAACAATTATTATGGACTGATACAGAAACTTGACAATTACTTAATACTTAAACTATCACTACTCAAATACTGATGATTAAACAAACACTGATAATTACATTGCCATTACTTCCCAAACTACTGACATCCAACCTAGAGAAATATAGATACTTAAACTAGTATGACTACTCAAACTAGTGACACCAGAACTAGATCAATACTGATACTTAAATTAGTATTACTAACCAAACTACTGACCCCTAAACTTGTGAAATATTGATACTTAAACTAGTATCAGTAAACAAGTGAGACTTAAACTAGACCAACACTGACACTTAAACTAGTATGACTACCCAAACTACTGACACCTAAATTAGTCAAATACTAATACATAAACTAGTATCAGTAAACAACTGATACTTAAACTAGACTAACACTGACACTTAAACTAGTACGACTACCAAAACTACTTACACCTACACTGGACAAATACTAGTTTTACTAGTATCACAAATAAACTGATACTTAAACTAGTGATACCCAAAATAGACAAATACAATTCTTCTTAGTCTTTTTTTTTTTTTACATTTTCTGAAGAGTTTTGCTTGTGCAAATGATCTTTTACTTGCACTTGTGCAAAACTGTCTGCAGTGATGCTGAAGAATTGTGGGTGGTTTCCAGGGCACTGCAGAGGGAGGTGCTGTTTGCACAAACATTGCAGGATGACGGACACACACACACACACACACTCACACACACACACACACACACACACTGATGCACACACACACTCACACACACACACACACACACACACTGATGCACACACACACACACACACACACACACACACACACACACACACACACACACACACACACTGATGCACACACACACACACACACACACACACACACACACACACACACACACTCACACACACACACACACACACACACACACACTGACCTATAAATCTCAGTGCTAGAGAAAATATAAACAATAATAACATAGTCATAGTTAACACCTCCGATGCAATAAAACTGAGTCAGACAGAATCACAGAGAGACACAGGAGAGAGCAAAGCCAAAGCCAAAAAAAGGATGTCAGAGAGAGAAAAAGAGCTGATTTGTCATGTAACCCGGTAAGTGTTTTGTCTACTACAGCAGTCTGCCTCCGGGGCACAATCACACTGTACTAGAACACACAGAGAAACGGACCTGTGCATACGGAGAAACAAACACAGACATGTCCATGAGTCTGACTCAGGGTCATATTCACTTATGAAAACATGCCTGCATTACCTAATCCAGCCCAGAGAGATCTTCCAAACCCCACGCACCATCAGCCGTGAATATGTGCACTCCTGAGTCATGTTCAGGCTAATATTAAGATGAAGGTGATATCAGCATCCCTCTCAGGACAGTGACTCATCGCTGCCCCAAACGCACTGCACGCTCAAACCTTGGAACATTTTCATCTGAATTTAGACATACACGCTCTAGATCATCTGTAGTGATCAACAGCAGCTGTGAAGAATTTAAAAAACATCCCTCTGCTCGTGATCGCTGTTGTTTATGAGCTGAACGTTTGGCTGGAGGTTTGAACTCTGAGCTGAGGTAAAGCCGAGGAACAATGACCAATTAACACAAATCTCACATTAGCAGGTAGAAACATGTCCTGTTATGTGATGTATGCGAGTTACATACATTAGACAAAAATCTAAAAGGTGTGCATTATGACTGAGACCTATATGAACAATTTACAGTTGGTTATGTTACTGTAAGTCATTCTTCTCAAATGCTGTTGAAGTTAGAAACTGAACAAGTCCATAGTTGACACCCTCTCATTAGCATGTTGTGCAGAGGACAAATAAATGTGGAACTACATTCAGAAATAAATGAGTGATTTAAAGAAAATAGTTAGGATGAGTTTAGCATTTCCTTAAACATTTTCCATTTGCCCACCAATTTATTTTATTTATTTGCCTACTTTCATTACACGTTTAATTATTTATATATGTATTTAAACAAGAATACGTGTATTTATACACACATTTATAAATTTATTTTTTTGCATATTTATTTATTTATACACATATTTATTTATTTATTTGCATATTTATTTATTTATACACACATTTATTTATTTATTTGCATATTTATTTATTTATACACACATTTATTTATTTATTTGCATATTTATTTATTTATACACACATTTATTTTATTTATTTGCATATTTATTTATTTATACACACATTTATTTATTTTTAATTTCTGTAGGTTTGGTCCTCCTTATGTGTCTAAAGAAAGTGTCTTGATATATAATATTAAGTATGGTCTTTATAATAATATTTTTAGTTTTACGTGATAAATATACATTTTTATCTTTGGGAAAATAAATGTTTTTGAATAACATTAATTTCGAGTTTGTGCCAAATCATAAATAAAATAAAAGAAAAACTAATAAATTTGGCTGCAACAATAGCTTTGTTTCACAACCACATGGACCTTTAGTTTGTTTTCTTTCCTCATGTGTTCGTTGACCTAGGCTGTGTCCGAAATCGCCCCCTATACCCTCATTCACTATTCCCTACATTAGGTCACTAATTCAGTTCACTAGAAGGAGTGAATGAAAACGAGTAGTGAATTCAGACACTGAGTGCACCGGAAGGAATGCCGCTTTTGCATAGTTTGTGCTTGCTGTTTATTAATCATTTGAAACTAGCAAACTAGCAGCTCCGGTAGTAAGATTAAAGGATTTATCTTGAACTCTGTCACGGAAATTATGTATAAACCCTAACCAAACTATTTAATAATCAATTTACAATGAATTTATACCCGTGTTGTACATTATGCTGCATGTACGCCATGGATGATCGCTTTGTAAAAATGAACGGATTGATTATTCAGCTGCGGGCGCCATCTTCTGGCGAGACGCGGGAATTCATTCGGCGCGTGACTCTCACGGTGCATTATGGGCATTCTCTAGCCGTTGAGCGTGCACCAGTTGTACACTCGTTTTTGCAGTGCATTGTGGGATTGAATGAGTGCACTCGAGAACGTCCACTACGGTTTCGGACACCACTAAAAATGGCTGTTCCCTCAAATAGTGCCCTATTTAAGGGTATGGGGGCGATTTCGGACATAGCCTTAGTTTCTGTCTCCCCTTGATTATGTTAGTTAGTTCACCTGTGTCTTGTTAATTGAATCATTATCCTCACTGTAAAAAAATAAATAAAATATCGCAAAAAAAACAGCGCTCCTTTGGTCTGTGTATTTAAGTTCCTGTCTGTTCAGTTTGAGTTTGTCGGTTATTATTTATACCTCATGTTTGCTGTTCACGGATTACCTGATCTTCTGTGTTTGTTGGAATAAATACCCTGTTTGAATTTATCTTCTTCGTGCGCCTTTACCTTCATCTAGCAGCAGCGTGACACTTTGTGGATTCATATGGCAATTTTTACACCATTTTAACCCCCATTTACTGTCGCCACAACTATGCGAGAGTGAGTAAATACATTTTTCATTTCAGAGTGAATTATTCTGCCCTGCAAAGGCAAACCGTCCTTCCAGAGTTTACATAGTTAATGCGTTTGCCTTCATAGGGAAATACTCCACAATGGAATGAAATAAGATAGAATTTAGTTCCTTTATGAAGCTGTTTTCCACTAGGCATGTTCGCACAAGGAACGTTTGTCAGGTTTGATTATTGTAAGGACATTTAGTCACCATAAGGAAAGACAAACTCAACAAAAATAACCACACACATGCAAACACGTTTGTATCATGGTTGGGACTTTCCATTTTATATAGAGCTAATGACATTTTCTGACCTGTAACCTAACCCTCACACAATGCTTTAGGCAGTTATACATTTTCATTATTATTTTGTATTTAATTGAATTAAGCCATTTCCTCAAGGAGAAAAATGCAGAAAATGTTTCAGAGTAGATATTTGGTCCAAACCAGACCCACACACAGAGAGTTCATACCCAGATAGTTGGGACTGGCTCGTCTCTCAGTGATGTTGATGGCCGTGGCTCCGGGTGGGATGTCCAGGATTTTGTGGTAGCCCAGCGGGACGCTGGTGTTCAGGAAACTTCCCGTGACCCTCTCACAGGTGCCGTCTCCACCGCCGCACACGCCACAGCGATCCCGGACCAACCCTGAGCCCAACACACCGTCACAGCCCTCGCTCTGACACACACACACGCGCACACACGCACACAAGGAAGAAACAATCACTTCATTACAGTGGAGCATGAAGCTGCCAGATTCTAGAACTAAACATCAGGGCACGTATTCATGAAAAGTCTTCGAGCAAAGAGTTGCTCCTAGAAAAGCTATCGTAGAAAGGTGGGGGCTTCCCCTTAGAATGAAAGAGAAGATTCTAGTAAAGATAAAAGTTATTCACAAAGCATCTAAACCCTTAAAAGAGCTCTTATGATCAAACAGTGTTTGGAGTAGGGAGGAGGACTTTTAAGAGGCTTAAGAGTTTCTTTAGCAGAGGAGAAAATGGCCAAAAGACAAAGAGAGAGAAGAAATGTGTTGCAGATAATGGATGACAGTGACTTAAGACGCTAGATTAAATGGTGCAGGGATAGTTTGTGACTGATCTTATTAGACACACAACAATATATACAGTATATATATATATATATATATATATATATATATATACACAGGTGCATCTCAATAAATTAGAATGTAGTGGAAAAGTTCATTGTTTGTGGTGGGTTTTTGTTAAATGTGAGCCAAAATCATCACAATTAAAAGAACCAAAGACTTAAACTACTTCAGTCTGTCTGCATTGAATTTATTTAATACACGAGTTTCACAATTTGAGTTGAATTACTGAAATAAATGAACTTTCCACGACATTCTAACTTATTGAGATGCACTCTAGAAGCTTGCGTTCTGCAAGTGAACGGCATATTATTGTGCCATCCCAAAATTCTCATTAAATGTTCCCTGCTGGTGGAATGACCTGCCCAACTCAATCCGAGCATCTTCAAGAAACGACTAAACCACATCTCTTCCATCTTTATTTGACCCTTTAACTCTAGCACTCTCTATTCTAATTCTACTCTTTATTATTTAAAAAAACCTTGCCCCTTGTAGACTTGCACTCTATTCATTTACTAACTGCTTTGTTTTCTTAAAAAAAAAAACTATCACTAGCTTTTCTTATAATTTGTATTCTTTCTATTTTTTCTTTTTATTTATTATACAATTAACAAAAGCAAAAAAGGTCACTAACACAAGCTTGCTCTATTCTTTTCTATTCTATCGGTTTTCTTTTTATTTATTATATAATAAAAAAAAAAAATTGCTGCGTGTACTGCGTTAGGCTAACTGAGACCTGTTACAGCACTTGCGTATCATTGCTCTTTTGTTGATTTTGATTGCTTCCATTGTCCTCATTTGTAAGTCGCTTTGGATAAAAGCGTCCTCTAAATGACTAAATGTAAATATATATACTGTATGTGTGTGCGTGTGATTAGGGTAAAACTAGGAAAAAATAGGCCCTATTTAAAGCGCTCTTTTTTTCTTCTTCTTGGACAATCAATCACAGTCTTCAAAAGAATGTGTCATACTTAGCAACGGGGTCACCACCGCCTCCTCAATACGATGAAAGTGTTTGTCTTTTCCTCTTAATCACTCTTATGCTACGATTCCTAGTTTTAAAAATGTAAGCAAAATGAAGAGCTCTCTGAGAGGATTCTTAGATGCTTTAAGAATACGAGCTGTTTGTAATGTTGTCCTCACAATGCCAGCACTAGAACTGAGCAGATTTAGACTTAGAAATGATCACAGTGGCTCTTTCCGGTGCTGATGTTACTATCATATTGGTGCATGTCAGCCTAGCTGTTTTCTCACCAGACAGCGTCCTCCCACACACACATCGTTGGGTGTGTTATTTGCGCAGGGCGTTCCATCTCGTACCCTCTCCGCCTGCCGCACGTAGAAACGATACCCGACCGGTCGACAGGTCAGCTCACACTGCTGCTCCAGACCCACTGCCACAGAACAACACACCAGATCATCAGTCAGCACTACTGCATTACATTCATCACACTCCACATGATCTGCTGTAGGCGTCTTTGTGTAAGATGAGGGCATACTAGCCCTCCAAAACCATTTTTTGAAAAAGCTGCGGCAAAAATATGCATATGATTGCCCATGTTTGCATATTGTGTATCACGTGTATCATACCATTTCTGGTACCCTCTCCGCCTGCCGCACGTAGAAACGATACCCGACCGGTCGACAGGTCAGCTCACACTGCTGCTCCAGACCCACTGCCACAGAACAACACACCAGATCATCAGTCAGCGCTACTGCATTACATTCATCACACTCCACATGATCTGCTGTAGGCGTCTTTGTGTAAGATGAGGGCATACTAGCCCTCCAAAACCATTTTTTTAAAAGGCTGCGGCAAAAATATGCATATGATTGCACATGTTTGCATATTGTGTATCACGTGTATCATACCATTTCTGTATTTAACAGCTTGGCTGGGATCATTGCATTTGCAAAGAGGTTACCTAAATATAATAAACCTCATCTGCATACAGAACTTCAAAAACAATAATTAGAAAACCAGCCTTCTCATATGGAAATGTAATATATGTAGCATATTTTGCCCTACATGCAACTTTATTCAAACAAACACACACACACAAAATCAGTATGATTATATAAGTAAATATAAAAGAAAAACATATATAAGCATACTGATTTTTAGGATGGATATATGTATACATGACATACTGCATATGTCCAAAAATGTATTACACATACATAAACATATTTATATGGGCTAGATATATATGAAATTGTTCCTAATTATAATAGGTTTCATATATGCTCTTACTTCATATAACAGTATTTTTAATGTATATTTTGCATATATTACATGCACGTGTGGGTTGGAAACTAACTGAAATAAAATATTTTTAAGATGAAGTACTAAAATTAAAAACTTTATAAAAAAACAAATACTAAAAAACTGAAATAAAAAATACAATAAAGCTAAACAGAAATATTAAAAATGACAAAAGTACATATAGCAAATAACTAAAACTTAAACTAAAATAAAAAAAAACAATGAATGATAATTTAAAATATGAATAAATACACAGATGGCATATGAATGATACTGAAATAACACTGGCGGACGGAAATAAAGTGCAATATGGTGACTTTCATAAACACATGATCAGAATGGATCCTTCTGCTCTCATAAATGAAACTCTTTCTGAAAACGTCTTGTTTTTTTCCGTTGTATCTGTCCTCTTTGTGA